CTCGGTCCAGTTAGAGCTGGCTCGTTAGCCTAATGAGTCAGCTCGGCTCGGCTCGTTATCGAGTTTGAGCTGGCTCGTTTAGCTCGTGAGCTATAAAAAAAAGACATGCATGTTTATAATGTTTATGTTACATTAATATTAGAAGGTGACGTCCACCATTATGCAACCATATATGATTAATACATATCAGGTTCATCAAAAGTATCAACCATGCAACATAGCTGGTCCATCCATGATCATGCAGTTTCAGTATACTAACTAGTTGCTTGCCACCACAAATTTAGAAAAGTCCACAGATTTAATGTCAACATCATCATCTTCTCCCTAAAAAACAATCCATAAAATCAATATTTAAGTACCACAACAATTATAAAATTAAAATTCATATAAAATAACTGAAAATATGGATTACATGTCAATAGAATAGGTGTACAATTCTAGGTCAGCATTATCATCTTCTGGATTTATGGTTGTAGGTTGATAGGCCTCAGCTCGTTTCAGCCCATAAACAGCTCGCGAGTTGGCTCGTTAAAATAGCGAGCTAGACTTCCAGCTCCACTCGTGAAAAAAGTTAAAACGAACCGAGTCGATCCGAGTTGAGTCGGTCACAAGTCGAGCGAGTTGACGAGCCGCGAGTATTTTATCCATCACTCTACACGGCGAGGCAATGGCCGGAAGCCAACAAACGGCGGTGAATGAAGAGGCCCTCACTACTGGCTGGGTGCACCCTACGGAGATTTCAAACTTGGCTTCCCGCCCACGCCCAGCCTTGGCAAGCCACCGAATTTTGGCTGGCCGCCCACGCCCACGCCCAGCTTTGGCAAGCCTCGGGCCTCGTTAGGCTGAAAGTTACTGAAAAATACTGTTCTGTTTGAATTGTTGTGAGAGAAAAATATTGTTCCGATTAAAATAAGAAGTCGAACAAGTCGAATATGGGTAAGCTGAACAAGGCCCGAGATGCATGGCGCTCGTCGGGGCTGGCGCATGTCATCGCCGTTGCTCGTCGTATGAACTTGGGCACGTACGTACATTCAGACATAGAGTACGACTTAACGAATCGATTCAGACAGCGCTGCATGAAAACTCCAGAACGCAAGGAACACCGCTAGCTCTCGTCTTCTTCTATCTAGAGCCAGTAGCCGGGACCTCTAAGAGGACTAGGGGAGTGTCACTGCACTCTGATAGTCTGATCCATGAGGATATCATCATATCACCTGCCCATCCCGTTTCACCTGCTGCCACGCACTACACACACACTACTACTAGCTACCGGCAGCAGGCAGCTAGCTCTAGGACTGGTTTAGTTGGCGATTTTTTTTTGAAAATTGGTATCATGGCATTTTTGTTGTTATTTGATAATTAGTGTCCAATCATAGTCTAATTAGATTTAAAAGATCCGTCTCGTAAATTTCCTCTAAACTGTGTAATTAATTTTATTTTTTATTTATATTTAATGCTTTATGCATGCGTCTAAAGATTTGATGTAACGAAAAATCTTGAAAATTTTTATAAAATTTTAGGAACTAGGCACCGGTTAAACTTATCCATCTCTCGCAAAAGAAGGCATGCAGCAAGCAATTCATGCAAATAGTATTGGGCCACGCATTGCATTGCATCGACCAACGCGTGCCTTCATCACATCGATCGCTATCGCTCGACCAAGTGGAGGCGCCACCGATGTCTTTTCTGAACTTGTCTAGCTAGCTAGCTAGCTAGCTGCTCTTGTGGATACGCCGCCCGGCCGCGTCTCCATGCTGCCACCAACTCAACTGATTGAAAGCATGATGGTCGAGAGTATATATGTATGTATGCTACTCCTATCTCATTGTTCGTTCTCGCCCACAAAGCCACAAAGGCGATATGCATGATTGCGGCTCGCGCGCGCGTGGATCGGAGGGCACCATTTCTTGTTGGCTTTGCTGACCCGACGGTCCCTGCAGGGACACGTGTGGTAGCTTTTTGGAACACCATAATAATACTATCACTGATGGAAAAAGTTTATTTATCATGGCGGTCAATCAGGTTTGGACAGTAGTAGTGTCAGTTGACGAGGATTAGGTGACCCAGCGAAAGATGGCCTGATCGGAACCGGGCTCTCTGACAGAATAGGAAGACACAAATAAAGTTAATTGAAAAAAAAAGCCGAACCAGCCGATACATTTTCCTCATTGACAACATGGACACATCTTTGCGATCTCACGAGGAAACCATCAGACACACGTGGCTTTTCCGAGGGGGGATGTAAAGCCTGAAGCAAAGATGTTCAAGCAGCAAAAAGGAATAGCTAGGTTAATAAAACTTGTCCACCCGTTTTAAATTGCAAGACGTTTTAACTTTTCTATATATATTATTTTTATTATGTATATAGCAAAAGCTATACTTCCAGAAAAAATCAAAATATCTTATAATTTGAAATGAAGGGAGTACAAGATTTAGTATATTTTTTTTTATCACAATACACATCTTGTATTGTGTTGGGAGTCTAGCAGGGAATACCACTTTGTAGACCCCTATACGATACACAGCCCAACGGCTCAAGAGGTAGTGACACAAGATTCTGACAAATGTTGGACGCCTACTTATTTTGATGATTTCTGTTAACTTTGAAAGATTTTGATGTGGGGCCACTGTCATTGGAAAAAGCTTATCTCCATAGCTTTCCGTACATGTAGAGCATCGAAACAGAGTCCAGGCGACGACCCGAGATGAAGTCCGTACATTTACAAGCTTCAGGCTGTTGTAGGAATTTGGATTTTGGAGCTACTGTAGCACGTTCATTTTTATTTGGCAAATAGTGTTCAAACATGGACTAATTAGGTTCAAAACGTTCGTCTCGCAATTTCCCACCAAACTGTGTAATTAGTTTTTCTTTTCGTCTACATTTAATACTTCATGCACGGGCCGCAAACATTCGATGTGACAGGTACTGTAGCAACTTTTTAAAAGTTAGGGTGAAACTAAACAAGGGCTCAGTGGACTATAGGGCCTGGACAGTGGTCCAGCTTTTTTTTTTTTTTGAGCAAATGGACAGTGGTCCAGCTGCATAGATTTTTTTTCCTCAACACGAGCTTGACCCAAAGTTTTTTTTTCTAACTAAAAAATAGCGGGCCGCCGGCCTAAGTCCAGCCCGAAAAATGCCAACCCGACTAGCCACGGTTGTGGGTTGGGTTTTTTTGGCCCGAAATAACTGGTCTTTTTTCGGCTCGTCTTGAGCCCGGCATAGCCCGGAATCCATGCATGATTGCTCGCAGCTGGGATCGGAGCTGGGGGACGCTGCCGAGGTCGGCCTCGGTGCCATCTGAAAGCGCTAGAAAAACCTCCACCGAACAAAACCAAAACCAAAACCCGCCATAAAAGCAAGATATCGCTCTCCGACAGGCACCCGGCCTTCTTGCCGTCTCGGTTTTCTTTCTGTTCTGTTAACCGGATATCGCCGTCGACGCTATCTCATCATCCCATTGGCGCCAGCATGCACTACTATTTCGTTCCATCGATCCGATCCTCTGCTTTCTCTTTCCGGTTGGGACCGGCGGCCGGCCAGACGCGCGACACGTCCAATCCAATTCGCAATTTCACATCAGCATTCCAATTCTAATAAGCACTGGTGCAGCAGGCCGCCGTCCCGTCGCGCCGAGGCGCCCGACGACGACGACGACCACCGAACTAATCGACGATCGATAGATGGTTGGAGGTGGAATTGTGGTCGCCCACGCTGGCGGCGCGGCCGGGCCTATGACCGGCCGGTACGTCGTGCTCACTGCACTGATGATACACAGATCATCGTCAGGACTTAAAAGCATATCCGCCTGTGAGTGTGAGGTGATGCATGCATGGATGCGTGTAGTACCCGTGCGTGCATGATCGGACCAAGCACCAACCAAAAACCATGCAAAGAGCTGGAGCCGGCGGCACGTCCAAGTCCATCTCATTCTCCTGTGCATGTGTATATCCGTGGATCCGCATGACAAATCGTCTACGCCAATCGCGACAGCGACGTGTGTACCGTGGTGTGATAGCTAGCCTACAGAGTAGGAGTATATGCGTGCGAGCTGGAAGCAGCTGGCTGACTGACGGATGATATAGGAGATGATCTGAGCTTCTCAAGCGGCTGTTCTGGACTTGCGGTGGTGCGTGGTCACCATTCACCAGACCGGACACCGGAGGCATTCATGCGGCGTGTTGGGCGCCTCCGCGCCTGGAACTCATCACTCAGGAACGAACCCATGGATGGCCGGGCTGCCGAGGATAATGTTCGAATTTTTCGTTGGGGGAAATGTGGATCCATCCGTCCCAGCTCGGTTGAGGGGTACGCGTGAGTGACTGTGCACAAGTATTGCCTGCTGGCCACATATATTCGTTTGGTTTTCTTCATTTTATGTTTGTTCGAATAAATATACGTGGAACAGCTACCAGTGCCCAATGTTATTGCAAACAATTTTTTTCAAGAAAAACCGGAAATGCCGAGGCAAGTGCTTGTCAGTCTAAATCCTGGGTCCTGAGTCCCAGCTAGAGAAATGCCGCAACAAGTGCCTGTCTGTCAGTAGCGCCCAGCTCAGAATCTGGCCCAGCCCATGTCGGTGAACCCAGCACAGCCTTTTCGTTTTCGACAGGCCCCCTTTTTTTTTTGAGAAACCTGAAGTCAAATGCCAGCATTTAGCATGGCCCAGTACTCTTTCAAGCTTCACCCATTTCCTGAAAAAACAACGATGAGGCACAAATTATTCACAGTACATTCGTGTACCGAGTCTCCGGTCCGCGAGTTCTTGCGACGAATCGAAGCGGCATGTTCTAGAAACAGAAATCAAACACGATTATTACACTGCCATCACGTGGCAAAACAGTAGTAGTAGGTTGTTTAGCTAGCTAGCACTAGCCGAAGACATCACTCTACACCGCACGACTGGTGACTGGAGCCCACGATCTGCCGATGGGGATGGAGCACTCGGGCGGGAACCGCCTCCGGTCGTACACCATGTAGTTCATGCGCACCCAGCTGAGCGTCATCCAGCTCCACCAGTCATTACGCTGCGACATCCACGCGGGCGCCCTCCGCCGACGCGGCCCGCCACCCAGCGCCACCATCGTCGGGCACCGTGCCCGCCCGCCACCTCCTCCTCGTCCCAGACGCAGGCGTTCGTGACGTTGTACCGGCGGTAGGTGGCGACGAAGGGCGCGGAGGCCCTGCGTGGCCCAGACCGCGGCGTCCCAGATGCTGGCGAACACCCGCGCCGGCTGCCGCGCCGGGAACGGCACCCCGCCGCGGCGTTGTTGGCGAAGACACGGATCGGGACGCCGTCCACGTAGAGGACGATGCTGTGCGGGTTCCACAGGATGGTGTAGGTGTGGAAGGCACGCGTGGGGTCGAACCACAGCGCGAGCTGCTGCTCCCGCTCCCCTCGCCCGTCGCTGAAGATGTTGGTGTGCAGCAGGTACGGCTCCCCGCTCGCGTTCCCCAGGAACTCGAAGTCCACCTCGTCGTGCTGCGCGCCGCCCGTGCAGATCTGCGACACCACAACTTTTTTTTTAGACATGTACAATACGACGCTTAGATACTTTTCCTTGTACTGAATTGTATGTGTAATTGTGTATATAGTAAAGACAAATGCACAGTGTATCTAGCGAATACTAGTGCTGGGTAGGAACAGTGTTGCCAATTCCAGTAGTGGATTTTTTTTAGTTGATGAGCCACACAGAACACCAAGGAGCACTGGCATGATGCATGGAGATGTGCACATACTGTAGTGTACACACAGTAACTGTAGCATCACATCTATGTGTCTGGCTAGTAGCAACCTCGCCCTGTTCATCACAAATGCCAACACTACTACAAAAACTTTACTGGAGGCGGGCGTTTTCGGTTTTCCGCGGCGGGCAAAGCCGCCCGCCGCGGCCTAGACGCCACAGTAAATTGTGGCTTAACGCTGGCAATGGCGGCCTTGCCCGCCATGTTATTCGATTATTACCGTGGTGGCGGTGTAATGTGTCCGCCATGTAAATATACTTTTACCACACGCGGGCACGCGTTACACCGACCGCCTCGGTTAATCGTTTGGAAAAAACAAAAAAAACCAAAGCCCACCGGCGAGCCCATTGACTGAGCCCACCGGCGAGCCCAATCCCAAACCAAAACCCTAGCGCCGCCATCGTCGTCCTTGGATCCAGTTGCAGCCGCCTCTGCAGCGCCGCTGCCGAAGATGAGGCCGGAAAGGAGGAGGGCGCCGAGCAGCCGCGCATCCGCATGCCCCGCCACCGCAGCTCCGACGTCCGTGCCGGCTCTAGATATGGGAAAGGGGAGAGGGCACAGTGAGGGAGACGAAGAGAGAAGAGCGAGGGAGACGAAGAGAGGCCTGTACCTGCATTGGCAGCACCACCGTCGCGGCATTCATCGGATCCGGCCGAGATCCGTCGGATCCAGCCGCCCTCCTATAGGATCCGGCAGCCCTCCACCTAGAACCGCCCGCCACCGTCGTCAGGGAGGGATGGGGAGGCCGCCTCCCACCAGATCCGGCCAGGGAGGAAGAAGGGGGCCAGATCCGCACGAGGGAGAGAGAGGAGACTAGGGCGCGCCGCCGGTGGATGTCGCGCCGCCGCGCGAGGAAGGGAGCCAGGTCCCGCTCGTAGAAGCCGACGCGCGCCCCATGTCCCCAGCGCCGCCGGTGGATGTCACGTCGGGAGAGGAGTGGAGAGGTGGTGACGACGGAGTGGAGAGGAGACTGCCTCGGTCTCGCGCGGAGTGGGGAGGTCGCCTCGCCTCGGACTCAGTCGCCAGAATGGAGAGGAGGTCAGGCCGACCGGTGGAGGAAGAGAGAGACAGAGGAGTGGGGTAGAAAACCCTAACTCCTCGTATATATAGTTCAAGGTTAAAATCGGGCCTTGATGGGGATTTTGGGCTTGGGCCTTTTCTGAGGCGGGCCATATAGGATGCCCGCCACAGTAAATTGATTTACCGTAGCGGGCACCTTAAGACGTCCGCCTCGGGAAATAGGCTATTTTCCGAGGCGGACGTCTTAAGACGCCCGCCACGGTAAATTGATTTACCGTGGTGGGCAAAAGTGCCCGCCTCAGAAAATAAAAAATGCCTGCCTACGTAAATCGACAGGCATTAACCGTGGCGGGTGTCGACGAAATATGGTCGGCAGTCTACCCAGGGGTATGCCCAAGGTAGTAGATTGTCGGCAGACAGATGCGCAAGCCACAAACAAGATGGTGACGCAAGACACACGAGGTTTTATCTAGGTTCGGCCGCCGAGAAGGCGTAATACCTACGTCCTGCGTCTGATTGTATTGCTGTATGTCAATGTGAGATGTTTTTTAGAGGGGTCCCCTGCCCGCCTTATATAGTTCTAGGGGCAGGGTTACAGATCTGGAAACTAATCCTAGTCAGTTACAATTGCCATAGGTGACCAAATAAGGATTCCTATTCTAACCGACCAAGATCTTGCTTGATCGCCAAATCTGTCTTGACTCCTTGCGCAGGACTCCGAACAGGTTGGTCGGGCCGCGCGTCGTCTTTTGGTGGACCGGACCCACTGATCCGGGCCGGCCCAATCTTAGCCGTAAGGGTATAGGGGTTAATACCCCCACAGCTAGTCCCCGAGCACCATGTGTTTTGCTGCGACACGCCACTTTTCTGACCACCGTTATTGCCGGAGAAGTAGGCTGTCCGAAGAATATATGGTGCTCTTAAGAAAAAAGAAAAAGATTTCCATCCTATGAAGTGTGCCCACTTGTATTTCTGAAAAGAAATGTAAGTGAATCCTGAGGCGTAGCATCCTTGATCATCAGAGGCGTAAGGGTCGAAAAACAAACACATTCACCGCAAGGTGAAGTGTGCCCACTTAGTCCCCGAGCCTGGTAGTAGGTGACGTAGGCACGTGGTGCCAGGGTCTAAAAAGAATTCCCAGTTAAGTTGAAAACCCGAAAGTCGTACAGGCGATACGAGATGCACCGGCAGGTGCATCGTACCCATGTAATCCCCGAGCTTGCTGAAAAGCGAATTACAAGCCTTGTAGCAAGGTCGAAATAAATGTCTCTCAACTGTATGTGAGTACAAATCATATGTAGCCGAGGAGAACAATCTTCGAGCAGTGGTCGGGACAATTCTCGAGCACATTGGTGGTCGGAGCAGTCCCCAAGCACGGTAATGGTATGTGCAGTCCCCGAGCACGGCAGTGGTCCAGGCAGTCCCCGAGCACGACAGTGGTCTAGTGTAGGGTCGAGATGGCGGACTAGAGGGGGGGTGAATAGTCTTTTCTAAAACTAATCGCGTCGGCTAACCGATATAAATGCGGAATTAAAACAATCGGTCTAGCCAAGACTACACCCCTCTATATATGTTCACTAGCACCTTGCAAAGATACTAATAAAGCAACTAAGGTGCCGGGCTAGCTAGAGCTCTCCTAAACAATTCTAGGAGCAAGGTCACACAAACCTATGCCACTAGTACTTTAAGTAACAAGGGAGCTTCTACACATGCTAGTAAGCAAAAGCACTAAGCTCACTAGCAATGCTCAATAACAAGGCAACCAACGCCTAATTAGAGAGCGCAAATACTTAGCTACACAAACTAAGCAATGTGACTAACAAGGTTACTAAAACCAAATTAGCCACGCAAGGGAGCTACTTCTATGCTACACAAGCAAGAAGGTAATTAGCTAGCTACACAAGCTATCTAATTACAAGAGCAACTACACAAGCTTAAGATATATATATAAGTAATTGCAAGCTTGTGTAATGGGGATGCAAACCAACGGGAAGAACAAGGTTAACACGATGATTTTTCTCCTGAGGTTCACGTGTTTGCCAACACGCTAGTCCCCGTTGTGTCGACCGCTCACTTGGTGGTTCGGCGGCTAATTAGCATCACCCGCTAAGCCCGCACGTCGGGCACCGCAAGAACCTACCCCTTGAGTGAGGGTAGCTCAATGACACGCTTTACTAAAGTTGCTCTTCGCGACTCCCGCGGGGCGAGCACAAGTACCCCTCACAAGCACTTCTCCGGAGCGCCGCACAAGCTTCTTGCGGGCTTCGACGGAGACCACCACCAAGCCGTCTAGGAGGTGGCAACCTCCAAGAGTAACAAGCACCACCGACTTGCAACACGACCACCTAGTGCCACTCGATGCAACCTCATGATGCAATCGCACTAGAATCGCTCACTCACACAATCGAATGATCACTATCAAGTATATGTGTGATGGAGGGCTCCCAAGCACTCACAAGCATGGACACTAAGTCCCTTGAGGTGCTCAGCTCCAGCCATGGCCGAGGGCCACTTCTATTTATAGCCCCAAGGGCTAAACTAGCCGTTACCCCTTCATTGGGCAACGGTCGGGCCGACCGGACGCTCCGGTCGTGTTGACCGGACGCTGGACCTCAGCGTCCGGTCGCCCGCAGACAACACGTGTCCGGTTCCAACGGTCACTTGACTTGACCTGACGCAGTAGCTTTCAAGCGACCGGACGCTGAACCCCCAGTCGTCCGTCGTTTCAATAAAGTCCGACCTCGACCGGACGCGTCCGGTCACATAATTGATCGGACGCGACCAGCGTCCGGTCACACTCAACTTCTGCGTCATCACACATCGTTACCGACCGGACGCACTCGCTAACGTCGGCAGTGCATTCAGATCAGTGTCCGGTCGGTTGACCGACGCCAGCATCTTCGCGACTAACTCGTTTTCACTTCTAACTTCATCACCCTAGCTCCAATGTGCTAACCACAAGAACTTGCATCCGGCGCAATAGAAAATAGGCATTCTATTTTCCCGAAAGCGCCGAATGTAAATGTTCCCGAGAGGGACCCAAACCCATCTCACCCCTGCAAACACCACCTCCTTTGTAAATGTGCCAACACCACCAAGTGTACACCACCATGTGTATGTGTGTTAGCATTTTCACAATCATTTCCCAAAGGATGTTAGCCACTCAACTTGCCACGCCACTCAATCCTAGCGACAATGCAAAGTTAGATCACTCGAGTGGCACTAGATGACCGATATGCAAACAAGTTTGCCCCTCTTGATAGTACGGCCATCTATCCTAAACCCGGTCATAAACTTCTCTACACACCTATGACCGGTGAAATGAAATGCCCTAGGTTATACCTTTGCCTTGCGCATTCCATTCCATCTCCTTCAATGTCGATGCAACACATGCACCAACACGATCAACAATGATATGATCCACTTCATATCATCACATGATCATATTGGTTCATCGATCTTGACTCTACTTGCTCTTCACCGTTGCTATCGTCCATCGGCGCCAAGTCTTGCTCAAGCTTCACCGCCACGTGGTCCATCACTCCAAAGCCTTTGACTTGCCCTTCACGCTTGCAACCGGTCCATCAAGCCAAGTCTTGTCTTGATCTTCTCCACCTTGATCACATGACTCAATGTCATGTCTCATGTGCAATAAGCTCCTTCATCATCACATGTGTGAGCTTTGCAACATCTCCAAGCCATTTTCACCTCCATGGCATATGTTGCTCATACACATGT